ACACACACACACACACACACACACACACACACACACACACACACACACACACACACAGAGAGACGCACAGACAAGGACGCACACGCACGCACGCACGCACACACACACACGTGCACGCTCGCGCACATGCACATGCAGACGTAGACACACGCACGTAGTTTTGTTTTAACTGCCTTCTTTAATTAGGTAGCAACAAGCCGGTAGAGATGGGTATGCCCTGATCAAATCCAGCTATCCAATCAGAGGAGAGAGAAGTCCCAAACCTTCGGATGGTAGAAAGTTCAGACAAGTGTGTACGACTATTCAAAAGGAGTGAAGGGCAAAAAAGCTAAGCCGCGCAGGATAGACAAAGCTGGCCAACTTACAACGTGGGACGCAACTAATCCCTAAGCCGCGCAGGAGAGGAGAGCTCAGAGCAGTTCGACAGTCCGTCACTCGCGCATATGGCCTTGCTTTGATTGGCCCACATTACGTACTCAAGGACCTAACTCAACAGGTTAATCAGATAAGGCACTTACTAACTATACTGGACGCTGACTCCACAGCACTGACACATAGTTAACTCAGGTATAGACATGACCAAACTGGAAGTCTCTGGAAGTCACTGGAGGATAGACAAACAACTGGAAGTCTGGAAGTCTGTCGTGAATACCGCCAGTAAGAATAGCCAAACACATTAAGTATAGACAAACACATTAAGGATAGACAAACACATTAAGTATAGACAAACACGTTAAGGATAGACAAACATATAAAGGATAGACAAACAACATTGGCAGCTACGGGCTGCTTCGTAGCTTCATCAACTCACAGATGGTCAGTGGTCACAGTCAACACAGGGGGCCTTGGTAATAAAGAGCCCACCAATGATCCCGTCACTTCAGCAACCCCCGTAGAAAAATTAAATCAGGGGAGGAGAGTGAGAGAAGGGAGGGAGGCCCTGGGAGGGCATTCGATTCGATTGCTTATAAAGATGCTGAGGTGATTTTGTTCGTTATGCAGAGCTTTCGCGACGGCGCTCGACGTGCCCGGGTCGTTCACGTCCGATGATCCGATCAAAAGGAAAAGAGAAGTGTTTGATTTTCTGCAATTAGGAGTAGCGGTAATAGGTAGTGTGAGGTGACATTGAGAGAAGAATATAGCTTTAAGAAAAAAAAAAAAAAAAAAAAATTCTGCTGGTTTCAGATTGTCGAATATAATAAGTCAGGCAGCGGCTGCGCGGTCCCCGCAATTGGCTGTGCTTTTTGCTGCGGTGTTCGTTGCTGCTCTGGTCGGACGAACATTGGGGTGGCTTACGTAAACCAGTATCATCCGCCGACCCGTTCTTAACTGTTGCTTTCCTATCCTCAAAATTTTACCTTCCCAGCATTTTCTCTCCGCCGACCAGTTGTTAACTGTTCCTCCCTATCCTGACAATTTTACCTTCCCATCATTTTCTCTCTATCTGCATTTCCTTCCCTCTATCTCCAGTTCCGATGATCGGTCTGTTCTGCTTCGGTGTTCTGTTCCATCCCTAGCTTTCTGCGCTTTCTCGGCCGAGAAAGCGCTGCCTTTCCACTTTCGACACCGCGACCACCCACCTTGTCAGCTACGGTTCTCTCTCTCTATCTCTCTCTCTCTCTCTCTCTCTCTCACTCTCTCTCTGTATGTGTTTCTCTCTCTCTCTCTCTCTCTCTCTCTCTCTCTCTCTCTCTCTCTCTCTCTCTCTCTCTCTCTCTCTCTCTCTCTCTCTCTCTCT